ACAATCAAAACTCAAAAGACAACCCTTTTAGGCACGCACGTGGCCTAAGAGTAAAAGGACGCGCCACCGCCAGGTAGAGAACTAGACAAACAAAACAGTACAAGAGAACTAGACAAACAATACAGTGGTGCAATTAGCCAAGGTTCAGATGAGAGATCATTGCTAAATGTACCAATCATTAAAGATGTGCGTACCTTTTATAACCTCCGATGAAAACAGGAAGGCCTTCGACCACATGCACGGTTATAGAGAGTTAATTTCTTCCTACAAAGCTTCTGGGGGTGGCCCTACTTAATTAGTGTGGGTCAATGACTCAATGCCCTACTAACAGCGAGTTGTTATCATTAATCATCATTTGGTCTGAGAAACTAGATGCTACTTGCCTCCTGGTTTTCATTTTGCTATAGCTTCGAAGATCTGATAGGGATACGGAACGAGAATTATAATTTCATATTCTAATATGTTTCCGAAGGCCGAATGTCGTCCATGGTGAAGAAACCGCGAACGATTTGGTGAAGAACAGGTTTTGAAGACTGCAGGAGTCACATTTGGAGCTTCACGTGGGCGAAAGGCCGGTCGATCGCGATCGTGCACAGGCCTGAGTATGTGCCTAGATTTGGCACGGTCGACCGCGAGACCCTGTAAGTGATTTTGGGCTCTGTCGTTTGTCACGGTCGACCGCCGCGGCCGACCGTCAGACCCTGTAAGCGTTTTTCAGGTTCTGTTGTTGGTCGCGGTCGACCGTGGCGGTCGACCGCGTAGCGGGTCAGGCCCATATGTTGGTTTCCTGTTCTTATTTGGTTTTGGTGTTTGTATAAATACCAATACACGTTCTAGGGTTTCTTAAGGCAAGCGTTTGGGATATTTGGAGCACGGAAAAGAGGTATTTTCTGAGCTATTTGATTAGGGTTTATTTGGAGAGATTAAGAGCTTTGTTGGTGAGATTAGTTTGTTCCTTCGAGTGATTTGTAATCTTAAGTTATACTCTTCTTCTCTATTAGTGGAAATCTCATTCCCTTCTTGTCCCGTGGATGTAAGCAATTGCCGAACCACGTTAAAATTGGTGTTTTGTTTGTGCATTGATTTTCTGTTGGTTTTGGCCCTCTTTGATCGGCGTTTGGTTTGGTTCCTCGATACGGTTTTCAACAACAATTGTGATGTTTTTCCCCAACAATTGGTATCAGAGGTCGGACTACGCTTGGGCTATTTAGAGGAGTAGATTAATTTGGGAAGCTCGTCTAGGGTTTCAGTTAGTGAGAAATGTGGGATCTTTTTGGTAAAGCTTCTTTTTTTTCTCAATTTTGGATCTATTCTTCGTTTGTTTCCGTATTGGTTGTTAGTGTGTTGAGGATTATGGCCGAGAAAGAGGGAGTTGAGGGTGGTTCTTCAAGTGTGAAGACTGTCCAAAGTTTGAGTATCCACTCGATGAAGATTGACGTGGAGAAGTTCAATGACACTAACAATTTTGGATTTTGGCGATGCGAAGTCTTGGATGCGCTCAATGCGCAGAATTTGGAAGATACGTTAGAGTTGGACGGAAAACCGGACGACATTGATGAAAAGGTTTGGAAAAAGATGAATCGGATAGCGTGTGGTGTGATTAGGTCTTGTCTCACTCAAGATCTAAAATATGATGTGATGAATGAGACTTCAGCTAAGAAGATTTGGGAAGTCTTAGAGAGCAAGTACTTGACGAAGAGCATCAAAAACCGCTTGCATTTGAAGAGGAGCCTTTATCGCTTCCAATTGAAGAATGAGACATCCATTAGTGATCACATAAACCACTACACAAAGCTTCTTGCAGATTTGGCGAATGTAGATGTCATTGTTGAAGATGAGGACAATGCGTTGTTATTATTGAGTTCCTTGCCTGACGAGGAATATGAGACGTTTGTCCTTACTCTTATTAATGAGAAGGTATCTCTTTCATATAGTGAGGTCACCACTGCATTAGTGAATTACCAACTTAGGAAGAAGGACAAGGAGACTTCTATTGAGCCGGTAGCGGGGGTATTAGTTGCAAGAGCAAATGGTCCAAACCGAGGTAGAAGGTCACAGTCTAGAAGGGCACATCTTGGAATTCGTAGGAATCAGTATGTTTTTTGTAAAGAAGATGGACATTGGAAAGCTGAATGCCCAAAGTTGAATGATCAAACCGGGAAGAATAAGGGGAAAGCTATTCAGGCTTTAGAGGTGAATGTAGTCAAGGCTAGTGGCAACAATTCTGATTCTGATTCTTCGGTCTACTCATTATCTGCACTGTCGTCAGTTTGTAATGCCTACTCTATAGAGTGGATGTTAGACTTGGGTACTACATACCACATTTGCCCTAGGAGGGATTGGTTCTCCAGCTTTCAGGAGATGGAAAAAAGATGATTTCGTGCTCATGGGTAATGATCATAAATGCCTTATTGGTGGTATTGGTACAGTTCGGATCAGGATGAGTGACAGAGTGATTCGGGAGTTGGTTGGAGTGAGGTTCGTTCCTCAGTTGAAGAAGAACATCATTTTACTTGGAGCTGGTTGGAGTGAGGTTCGTTCCTCAGTTGAAGAAGAACATCATTTTACTTGGAGCTTTGGAGGCAGCAGGCTATAGGGTGACCTGAAGAAGAACATCATTTTACTTGGAGCTTTGGAGGCAGCAGGCTATAGGGTGACCTTGGCGGATGCATGTTTGAAGGTTATATTTGGGTCCATGGTTGTGATGAAGGGCGTCAAAAGGAGTAACTTATACTATTTGCTTGAGAGCACGGTGATTGATAGAGCTCTGACGACTTCATTGGATTTGGCTAGATTGTGGCGTAGTTTGGTGCTGGGGTATTTGATTGGTGATATCGTGCATAGGTTGTTGATGAGTGCTTTGACCTGCAGATGGAAGTCCTTTGAGCACATTGGGATGAGCAAGACCGTGGTGGAGTTTGGCACTTCTATCCATCGAGCGAGGGGTCTTTTAGGAGGTGTTCAGTCAGACATTTGGGGGCCTTCCAAGGAGATATCATTGGGAAGTAATCGTTTTGTAGTTTCCACAGTTGGTGATTGTTCTAGGCATTATTGGGTCGCGGCCAGTTCCCGTTGGTGTAAAGTCCTAGAAGTCAATAATAATTGAAAGAAGTGTATTGACAGAAAGGTAACTCATTGTTCTAGCTTTGGTAGGGGTCCTTTCTTGTGTTTGTGCCGAGCTCATGGCAACTTGAAACACTTCATTGATGTGGAGACTTTGGGGCGACGAGATGAGATGACAGTTTCGATTGATCGTTCCTTTCTGGAGGAGGATCAGCGTTGGTTGTCGAACATTGGTTCTGGTTATGGAGTTTCGACATATTTGGGTCATCTTAGTCATAGGTCGCCGACTGCTGCATTAGGAGTTATTGGATCTGGTGGAGCTGCTTTAGATTTTGGTTGGCGTCGGATATTTGGTTACCCAGTATTTGGTCACATCGAGGATGTGAGATTTGATCCGATTACGCGTTTGGGATTCAGAGGCTCATTTGATTATTGTTTGGGAGCTTCTGATTTTGTTCTGAGCAGGAATGTCACTTTTGACTCTCAGCAGGTGGAGAGTGTTGATCAGGTCATTTGGATATCGCAACAGGTGGAGGGTGATGCTACTCCACGTTAGGTGGAGTTTACTCCACATACTCCAGATCATACTGCGTTATTTGGGATTCCAGCTGAGGTGACACAGGTTGGGGATCATTTGATTTCAGATGCAGATGATGGATTGGCTTTGGATTTGGTTGCAGCTGGTGGACATGTTTTGGATACGGCCATTGGTTCACCTCAGATGGAGGGGTTTGATTTCTATCAGTTTGGGGCCGCTATCAGTTACAGATCCGTTGGTAATATTGGGGAAGAGTTGCAAACTTTTCTATTTGTTTGAGGGCCTTTGGAGGCCGTTTGGGTGAACTACGCGAATGCTTGATTCCTTGAGCAAGAGGATACGTAGGCAGTCTTAATGATGCAGCCGGTTTGGTGAGTAGACATCGGCGTTTGGGTGAGTGTTCGCACTCCCGTTTGGGTCTCGACTTGTGTGGATAGAATCCGTTGTCATGAGTCTGTTGCCATGACATACTGAATGCAACAAGTGAGACATTTGGCTTGGTTGGTGTCGGCTCAGTTTTGGTAGAAACTTCGCCGAGGTGAAGAATTGAAGAAACCGCGAACGATTTGGTGAAGAACGGGTTTTGAAGACTGCAGGAGTCGATTCACTTCACTGAAGTTAGTAAGGATGCTAATCATAATTATCTTATCATTTTACAAGAAAAGATCATGACCTGTTCAGTTGTAATTTTTACTTATGCAGTTATTTCCTTGTAATTCGTATCATGTGCTTGAAGTTGACTTGAGTACTTACGTAGAAACTCAATTAAGATCATGGACAAGTAAATAAAATATGATGGCTACAAGCATGGGAAGGAAAAAAAAAAAAAAAGGATTTCAACCTTCGTTGCTTTGAAAAGCATTAAGTTTCATAAATGGTGCACTAGCATCAAGGCCCACAGTTGTACCGGTGAAGAGAATTTTATGGGGATCTGGTTGTTTAAATATTAGTTTCATAACCTTGGTTCGTAATTACACGCACGAAGTCATGAGCAAAGTCAGTAAGGTTTTATAAAGATTATTATGGCATAATATCTGCAAACTATCAAGAAAAGAGATGATCCTACATGGACAAAATTCCACATCACAGAATAGTCAAACAAGATGGATGTTATGCTAAATTTTAAGCACTAAAATATTATGCAATGAATGGGCATAACGATTCTACCAAAATTGCTCCTTTCAGAATTAAACCACTACAAAAATTCTAACCTTAGCAAAATTCATCCTAATGCTTCGTGTAAAAAAAAAAGGAACAAAATCCACATCTTCCCACGATATATAAAAACTCATATCGGTGACCACTAAGCATGATGATCGTCCGAACAAATCAGGCTTAAAGTACGATGCAACCTCTCTAACAACTGTCGAAGATGTTGGGGGAGAAATCAGACCCAATCTATAGTTGATGGGCCTTAAACAGAAGGTAGAAATCAATTTTAACCCAAAATCTATAGCTATCAGGTATTTGTTTGCGTCAAAAATTGTTTTCTTCATTGTATAACTCATTACAACTTTGATCGTTATAACGAGTTCAAAAAAGATCGGTTTTTTTATAAGACCTTTACACAATGAAAATAAAAGCTACAATTCTTGTTCAAACAACACACAACATGTGTTTATCGCCTATTGCTTCGCGTGAGATCTTTGCCTGTGCCGGGGTTTATCCGTGGACCGTCTTAGATCTGGATCCGATTGATAGAAAATTGGACAGAGCTTCACATTCACCGAGAGAGTGTTTGATTTGAAGCGCTGAAATCGACCAAGCGAAATCAGGGCTCTTCTCGAGATTATTCACCGAGAGAGTGTTTGATTTGAAGCGCTGAAATCGACCAAGCGAAATCAGGGCTCTTCTCGAGATTAAGACCAAGCCAAGCGAAATCAGGGCTCTTCTCGAGATTAAGACCAAGCCTAATCTCAAGGAACGGACGGACGGGGTTCAAATCCTTCGAATAGCTCCTTCTTTATGCCGGAGTTCGCCGGGATCTGATTTTCCTTCGCTGAAATTCGTGCTCTCTGACTCTTCAATCCAGCAGCACCTCCACGTTTTGATAATCGAATCGCCCCCGTTGAAAGGAGGCCCTAGGCTTGTATTTATAGGCTTCGGTTGGGGGTTTTCGGATGAGAATGAATGATTACTCCTTATATTCAGTTAATAACTGATTAACAACGTTTGGGAATGATATCAGTTCAGTTTGGATGCTCAGAAACGAACAAATTCCGAGAAAAACCGTCAAAAACCGAACAGGGATCGAAACAGCGCGCGGGGGCAAATCTGAACCCGCGCGGGTGCGGGTCGGATTCGTCCGACTCGCGCGGGCACGGGTGTTTTGACCTTTGGTGTCTTTCGATCTTCCGAGACCTGTATTTTCCACCGTTTTGCGTATTTGAACATCTTGTTGACTTGTACGATTTGCTAACTTGCTTCATGCGCTCGTTAGCTTCTATGCGGCGCTTGGAACTGATCGACGCGCGCGTGTTGATTGACGAGTGCGAGCGTTGACCGACTCACGTGAGCTGATTGACGTGCGCGTATTGCCCGACACGCGCAAACTGATTGACGTGCACGTGTTGACCGACGCGCACGAGCTGATTGATGTGCGCGAGCTGGTTGACGTGAACCTTCTCGATTCGTCCACTCTTTTGATTTGAGTTGTATTCGAGGACCTATAGGCAATTTTTGACGCCAACAGTATTGACCCAAACTCATATTTAAACTCATCACTCTTTATTATCTGATCCGATGTGGGACTAGTTATTTATTTAGATAAAAAGATGGTCATAGTTCTGACCCGGAAGCAGCAAAGGTCTCTGAAGTTACATGGTCAATTTCCGTGCTTAAGCTAGCTATTTGAATAGAGAACCCATCTATTACAAGCACCATTAGCTACTAAAATGTAATTATTCTACTAACACACACTCCCTCAATTGTGATTAATAAGATTCAGTAAATAACACTGGCTGTAGCTAAAAGTGAAGGTCTCTATAGAATTGTTTTGGAAATTTGTACGAGTCGGATCTCAAGCCGAGCCCAACCCTCGCTTAAAAATTTGCAGGCTATACCAAAAAGCCCAATTAGCCCATTACTCCTCTTGACCCTTTGCAAAGTGATCATTTCCACGAACCCTTAGATCTCATCTCTAGTAAAAGGATCGCCGGAGAAAAACCCTAGCTAGCAATGGCGAGGTCTCGATCGAGCTTTCTCCTCCTCGTCCCTCTCCTTCTCGTCGTCTCCCCATCGCTTGCGATCTCCGATGGCCCTTTCATCGTCGCCCACAAAAAGGTCAGCCTCGCCCGCCAAAAGTCCGGGATGGAGCGCGTCTCGGTTAGTCAGGAAAATAATCCTGAGCCTTTCTCGGCAATAGTAAAACAAGAAGCCAATTGGACACCTAAAAGGTGATCAGAAACATTTCTATATTTAGAATCAGAAGATGTTTCTTCGATGCAAGATATTAAAAATATCAGAACAAGATACTTAAATGACAATTATTACCCAACATTATCATTAAAATCCAGATCTTGGATGAGAACTTTAATTATGCAAAAAAGAACGGAAATAACCCATTTCTGGGGATCTGAAAATAGAACTATCCCTCCTAATTTTAGTAAATGCATCATCAAAGAGGTCATTTTACCCCGAAAGTGGGCTCTAAACCCAAACCAAGACCTGCCTCTGGTTAAAGCCCAAAATTCAAAAGAAATTTATTCTTTTAATTATTAGGATTATAAACAGGCATTTTATAATATATTTTTATATCAAAATCCCAAGAATAAACATACCTGGCTGATAAAACTTTGTCCAGAAGCCCTTAAAAAGGGGATTCCTTCATGGTTTTACAATTGGTGGACAATATATGGTGCTGAATTAAGCATCTTACATGAACTCATAAGCAAATTATATTCGGCTTGGGTAGAGTCTCATCCTCTCATTTTAAAAATGGAAGATAATAATATTATCGAAGGCTTATGTGCTGTTTACTTCTTCTCTGAAACAGAGATTCCATGGATATGGACATGGACCTTTGAGTCCGATTGGGATGATTTACATCTACCTAATCTAAAAAGAAATCACTATTGTAGATGGTGGAATGGAATCATTATTGACGAGAAGGTCAAATTAATTGAAGAAATTATAGAGAGAAATAATAGTGTTTTCAAAAAATCTATGTCTCAAGAGATTCAAAAGGTTAACCCTATGATGCGGTTAGCCAAAATGATTCGGAGGAAATATCCACAAGCTTCTGAAACTGAAATTCAGCAAAAATATCTTGATCATATGAAAAGACAGTTTTTTGAAGTATTTGATAATATGGAGACACAATCCAATAAGAATATTGATTCTTGTGGTGAAGACAGCACTTTACCAGACGCTCAAGGAGAAGACGAAGAAGAGGATATTTGAAAAGCTGCTATGGGAATACTGAATCAGGTTCCATCATCAGACCTAAAGGGAAAAGGAAAAAAAAAGTAAATAGGTCAGTATGAGTTGAGCCTCGGGGAGCCACTCATCAGATTCCACTACTTCTTAAAGAAGCTTTTACAAAAGCAAAGCTTTAATAAAGCTCCTTTTGTAAAGAAGATTCATTGTCAGTGCGTTGCTAACTATCTTTTGTCAGTGCTTTGCCAGTTGTCTTCTTAAAATATGTATCTTTTATTCTCTTCTGATCTATATAAGGGGAAGAGTAGTTTGTTGTAAGGTGTGCTTTTTCAGGTAAGTTTTATTTTCTAAGTCTAAGTGAGAGTTTGGAGTGTGAAGTATTTTCTCTTGTAAGATCTATCCGTATAAATAAGATTGAAGAAGATATTATCTTAAGAGTGGGTAGCCGAACTCTGTAAGTTTTTCTTTAATTTATGTGTTTTAATTTTATTTTTATGCTTGTTTAGAATTGGTATCAGAGCCATGTTAGGCTAATTTTCGTCTTACGATTTATTTGTGTAGACTTGTTTGTTTAGAATTGGTATCAGAGCCATGTTAGGCTAATTTTCGTCTTACGATTTATTTGTGTAGACTTGTTTATAAGAATGTAAATTTATTATATGTTCTTTCTTTTTTTTTGTTTATGAACTAAGTTTTTAAAAAAGTCTATGAAACGTCACCAAAGTCGCGTAGTGTAAAACCCAGTTGTTGCCAAGATGACGTTGAAAGGGTAGTGTAAATCGTTGACAGACGTGTAGACCTTTTACTTAGTTGATTTTTAAAGAAAAGAGAGAAAAATAGTAAATTTATATCCTTATAGCTAGTTTTACATAAATAAATCTGTAAGATCTTTATGTCTGAATTAATTCCTTCGTCTTCTACTTTAAGCAAGACCCTTAATAAGGGCAAAAGAGTTAAAAATGCTCAAAGTACAGAATATACTTCTGAAATTGAGGCTTTAAATAAATGGACAATTCCTGCTATCCCTAATAGAGATATTTATAAAATAGGTTTTCTGGATTATAAATCCTTAATAACTATTAAAACTTTAGAACGAACTACAGCTGTAGATCGTGATGAGCAAACAATACAATTGCTTAGTCCTATTGACATTGATCCTTATATGGATAAATATAATTATATTCACATCGGCTTAATACAAGTCGCCTTCAGACCCTTAACTTTACAAGGATTAAATGCATCAATATTAACTTGTCTAAGAGATGCAAGATGTTTAAATTGGACCCGGTCTTTAATGGGTATAATGGAAACTAGTCTTTGTAATGGATCAATTTATTTTAATGTCTATCCAAACTTAAGTTTATCCTTAACAGACCCCAATATATTTGAAGCAGTGAGTTTAAATATAAAAACTCATGGTTATAACTTTATCTCAGGATCTGAGACTATAGCTATAATATATAGAATTCATTATAAAACATTAACTTCTTTAGCTCCAAAAGCTAAGATGCATTCTAAACCAGGAAAGACTGTCCTAGTTGAAACAAATGTTTTATCATCTAATATTGCTGTGAATAGACAAATAAAATGGGATGAAATAAATTTCCCTGACAGTTGGGTAATACCTAATGCTGTTCAACCACAACCAATTATTAATCAAGAAATTGATCAAATAACTCAAACAGTTGATGGAGAAGTAGAAATTGTATTTAATCCTTCTCGAACTATTCGTCTATCTGACGTAACTAGTACATCTAGAAGATCAATTTCTAGATCAGGTTCTTATAGAACTAATGATGTTAAAGGCATTAATATTTCTATAAGAACCTGATCTAGAAATTGATCTTCTAGATGTACTAGTTACGTCAGATAGACGAATAGTTCGAGAAGGATTAAATACAATTTCTACTTCTCCATCAACTGTTTGAGTTATTTGATCAATTTCTTGATTAATAATTGGTTGTGGTTGAACAACATTAGGTATTACCCAACTGTCAGGGGATTTTTTTTTTAATATTCATATTAACCGGCATTCTAAAGCTCATTTCAGAGCTGGTTGGAGAATTTCTCTCTTTATCTTTATTATCTTTATATAATCCATGGGGAATATTATTTTTAGAAATATTAATGCCTTTAACATCATTAGATGAAAATATAAATTTTAAATTCGTACATAAACAAAGAAAAGAAAGAACATATAATAAATTTACATTCTTATAAACAAGTCTACACAAATAAATCGTAAGACGAAAATTAGCCTAACATGGCTCTGATACCAATTCTAAACATGCATAAAAATAAAATTAAAACACATAAATTAAGGAAAAACTTACAGAGTTCGGCTACCCACTCTTAAGATAATATCTTCTTCAATCTTATTTATACGGATAGATCTTACAAGAGAAAATACTTCACATTCCAAACTCTCACTTAGACTTAGAAAATAAAACTTAACTGAAAAAGCACATCTTACAACAAACTACTCTTCCCTTTATATAGATCAGAAGAGAATAAAAGATACATATTTTAAGAAGACAACTGGCAAAACACTGACAATGAATCTTCTTTACAAAAGGAGCTTTATTAAAGCTTTGCTTTTGTAAAAGCTTCTTTAAGAAGTAGTGGAATCTGATGAGTGGCTCCCCGAGGCTCAACTCATACTGATCTATTTACTTTTTTTTTCCTTTTCCCTTTAGGTCTGATGATGGAACCTGATTCAGTATTCCCATAGCAGCTTTCCAAATATCCTCTTCTTCGTCTTCTCCTTGAGCGTCTGGTAAAGTGCTGTCTTCACCACAAGAATCAAGGCTCTTATTGGATTATGTCTTCATATTATCAAATACTTCAAAAAAATGTCTTTTCATATGATCAAGACATTTTTGCTGAATTTCAGTTTTAGAAGCTTGCGGATATTTTCTCCGAATCATTTTGGCTAACTGCATCATAGGGTTAACCTTTTGAATCTCTTGAGACATAGATTTTTTGAGAACACTATTATTTCTCTCTATAATTTCTTCAATTAATTTGACCTTCTCGTCAATAATGATTCCATTCTACCATCTACAATAGTGATTTCTTTTTAGAATAGGTAGATGTAAATTATCCCAATCGGACTCAAAGGTCCATGTCCATATCCATGGAATCTCTGTTTCAGAGAAGAAGTAAACAACACATAAGCCTTCGACAATATTATTGTCTTCCATTTTTAAAATGAGAGGATGAGACTCTACCCAAGCCGAATATAATTTGCTTATGAGTTCAGATAAGATGCTTAATTCAGCACCATATATTGTCCACCAATTGTAAAACCATGAATGAATCCCTTTTTTAAGGGCTTCTGGACAAAGTTTTATCAGCCAGGTATGTTTATTCTTAGGATTTTAATATAAAAATATATTATAAAATGCCTGCTTATAATCCTAATAATTAAAAGAATAAATTTCTTTTGAATTTTGGGCTTTAACCAGAGGCAAGTCTTGGTTTGGGTTTAGAGCCCACTTTCGGGGTAAAATGACCTCTTTGATGATGCCTTTACTAAAATTGGGAAGGATAGTTCTATTTTCAGATCCCCAGAAATGGGTTATTTTCATTACTTTTTGCATAATTAAAGTTCTCATCCAAGATCTGGATTTTAATTATCATTTAAGTATCTTGTTCTGATATTTTCAATATCTTGCATCGAAGAAACATCTTCTGGTTCTAAACATAGAACTGTTTCTGACTACCTTTTAGGTGTCCAATTGGCTTCTTGTTTTACTATTACCGAGAAAGGCTCAGGATTATTTTCCTGACTTACTTCATTTATAAGGTCATTCACTAGGCCTTTATAAAAGGCTGGGCTTTTAGCCTGGCTTCCTGAATAATTTTTTTTGCCACAGTTCTCCATGAACTGGATTCAGGATTCGAACTTTCAAAGAATTCATTAGGACTATAAGCCCTCTGACTATGTTGAGGTGAATTACCTCGGCCTCTCCCCCCCAAAAGAGGGATTATTCCGCTTCATGGGTACCCTGTAAAAATTCACGAGTAAGAAAATCGGGTAAGTAGTTATTACTACCTTTAATATATTCAATTTTAAATTCGTACATAGCAAAGAACATAGTCAGAGGGCTTATAGTCCTAATGAATTCTTTGAAAGTTCGAATCCTGAATCCAGTTTATGGAGAACTGTGACAAAAAAGAATTATTCAGGAAGCCAGGCTAAAAGCCCAGCCTTTTATAAAGACCTAGTGAATGACCTTATAAATAAAGTAAGTCAGAAAAATAATCCTGAGCCTTTCTCGGTAATAGTAAAACAAGAAGCCAATTGGACACCTAAAAGGTGGTCAGAAACAGTTCTATATTTAAAACCAGAAGATGTTTCTTCGATGCAAGATATTGAAAATATCAGAACAAGATACTTAAATGATAATTATTACCCAACATTATCATTAAAATCCAGATCTTGGATGAGAACTTTAATTATGCAAAAAGGAATGAAAATAACCCATTTCTGGGGATCTGAAAATAGAACTATCCCTCCCAATTTTAGTAAATGCATCATCAAAGAGGTCATTTTACCCCGAAAGTGGGCTCTAAACCCAAACCAAGACCTGCCTCTGGTTAAAGCCCAAAATTCAAAAGAAATTTATTCTTTTAATTATTGGGATTATAAGCAGGCATTTTATAATACATTTTTATATCAAAATCCCAAGAATAAACATACCTGGCTGATAAAACTTTGTCCAGAAGCTCTTAAAAAGGGGATTCCTTCATGGTTTTACAATTGGTGGACAATATATGGTGCTGAATTAAGCATCTTACCTGAACGCATAAACAAATTATATTCGGCTTGGGTAGAGTCTCATCCTCTCATTTCAAAAATGGAAGACAATAATATTGTCGAAGGCTTATATGCTGTTTATTTCTTCTCTGAAACAGAGATTCCATGGATATGAACATGGACATTTGAGTCCGATTGAGATGATTTACATCTACCTATTCTAAAAAGAAATCACTATTGTAGATGGTGGAATGAAATCATTATTGACGTGAAGGTCAAATTAATTGAAGAAATTATAGAGAGAAATAATAGTGTTCTTGAAAAATCTGTCTCAAGAGATTCAAAAGGTTAACCCTATGATGTAGTTAGCCAAAATGATTCGGAGGAAATATCCGCAAGCTTCTGAAACTGAAATTCAGCAAAAATGTCTTAATCATATGAAAAGACGGTTTTTTGAAGTATTTGATAATATTGAGACATAATCCAATAAGAACCTTGATTCTTGTGGTGAAGACAGCACTTTACCAGACGCTCAAGGAGAAGACGAAGAAGATGATATTTGAAAAGCTGCTATGGGAATACTGAATCAGGTTCCATCATCAGACCTAAAGGGAAAATGAAAAGAAAAGTAAATAGGTCAGTATGAGTTGAGCCTCGGGGTGCCACTCATCAGATTCCACTACTTCTTAAAGAAGCTTTTACAAAAGCAAAGCTTTAATAAAGCTCCTTTTGTAAAGAAGATTCATTGTCAGTGCGTTGCCAACTATCTTTTGTCAGTGCTTTGCCAGTTGTCTTCATAAAATATGTATCTTTTATTCTCTTCTGATCTATATATAAGGGGAAGAGTAGTTTGTTGTAAGGTGTGCTTTTTCAGTTAAGTTTTATTTTCTAAGTCTAAGTGAGAGTTTGGAGTGTGAAGTATTTTCTCTTGTAAGATCTATCCGTATAAATAAGATTGAAGAAGATATTATCTTAAGAGTGGGTAGCCGAACTCTGTAAGTTTTTCTTTAATTTATGTGTTTCAATTTTATTTTTATGCATGTTTAGAATTGGTATATATATATAGATTAATGGGTATCTTTGTCATAGGAGGGGATTTCCTCATTGACGCCTATGTGGCACAATCCCCACCATCCTTATAAAGTAGGAGAGAGAGTGTGAGTTGATGGGGATTTGTTCCTACTTTATGAGGATGGTGTGGATTGTGCCACATAGACGACAAGGAGGGAAATCTCCTCCTATGACAAGGATACCCATTAATCTCATATATATATATATAATGCGTAGCCCTTAGCCTTTTATTTGATTTGAATTGAAGCTGTTATATGTCTCTGCTTAGTTTCCGAAAGTAGTTGTATATATAATCATTCATGAAGCCATTTCCAACGCCTGATGTAAACGGTGTATATGATCAGTATAAGGCTAAAATGGATGCTAGTATTAGTATACCACCATGCTTCTGTTCTGTTCCCCCACACCTACACCTACTGGAACGGCGTCAAGCCGCACCGAACGCTGCGGTGTCGGCAAAATATACACATCAGCACTAGCAAGATTTCAAGATTCAGCGTCGCAATGTTTGCTTTCTAGCAAGGGCTCTCATCCTCTCGTCTGCCTTTGTCCTTGACTGGAATAAAATAGCACTCACTGTTAGAATGTTAAAGATGTTGACGATAATGAAGCATCTAATTAGAAGTTTTAGAAATAAATTTTTGTCCATTTATTGTAATAAAATATTTCTTATTGATATATATCTAATATGTATTGTTTCTCATGATTAATGGTAAATTGTAGAAAAGCCCTGTGAGGTTTGTAAAAGTGATAGAAGATCCCTGAGGTTTAAAAATGAGCACTTTGACCCCCTCTTTGTAGATTCTGTTGCATGTGACCCTTATAACCCCAAAAACACCGCTAGATCCCTCCAAACTTCTTCTTCTACCCACTGTTTTAAATATCGGCCGATAATCGATATTATCGGCCGAGTTATCGGATTTGGGAGCTCTCCGCTAGGATAAATTGGATTTTTAATCGGTTATCGTTTTTCTAGGTTTATCGGCGATTTATCGGCGTTATCGGCACTTATCGGCCGATAAGTAAGACTTTTTTATCGGGATTATCGGGATTATCGGCCAATTTGGACTAACATTATATTTTTTCAAGGCTATGATGCAAGTTTCGCTTTCTACAGTTAGTTAATGATTCTAAACATGATGATTTACATTTTGGTATGTTTATATTTCATTAAGCATGATTAGATTACATTTTTTAATTGGTATATTATATATACACATCATTTAGTATATCACTCCGATAAATACTACTTATCCCCGATATATCCCCGATTTCCGCTATCCGATAAGGATTTTGGCCGTCCGATAAATCCCCGATAACCGATATTTAAAACCTTGCTTCTACCAATGCGCCATATTGTCAGTGCATATATCCTCTTCGTATTGCCCCCTTTACAGAAAAACTTGTTCACCAGAGAGAAGCGAATACACGCGGATCTGTGTATTATACAGACATTTAGAGAAACCTACTTGTTCAACTCCACTTTTTAATCTAGAAGGAATATATCTCCATTTAGACCATCTTTGGGATATGCAAAACAGAGGACAAGAATAATCAATCATCTGAGTATGGTTTGCAAAGAACAGTGATTGTGTAAGAAGTGTTGAACTCTGTCAATTTGATTGATCAATTATGTGCTCTTATACTTCTGCAAATTATTCAACCAGGGAAACAAATGATGGTATTTGTGACAGTTTGAAGATAAATAGAGGAAAATACAGATTTTTTGTTGTTGTTGGGGGGGGGGGGTTGGATGGGTGAGGGTGGGGTTCTATGATGGCTATCTCAGACCATCATATTCTTTTTGCCATAAAAAAAAGTCCTATCATCTTAGAGACCTTGCTGGTTTTTTTTGTAGAGAAGATTCATGGTATTTGATGTATTGCAGAATATTGCATGGAAAATCTTAGTAGGGGGGGGGGGAGGGGGGGGGGGGGGCTTGAAAGTGTTAGTTTTGAACCTCGGCGATTTTCTTGTAATTTCTACACCACTCAATGGGGATTCTCTGTAATTTACCCATTACTTAAATTTAGAGTCCAACAGATATTGTTGCTGTATTGAGTTTATTTGAACACTGATACATATATAATTCGTTGCATCTTTAGACTGTACTGATTCTACTTTGTAGTGCTTCTGTACTATTTACTTATTTATGAGTTGATAGTAGTTTCATGTTTCAAGTAGGATCCTCAACATGTTTCCATTTTCATTCAAAGTGATCTTCTTAATTCATAATGTTCTTTTTCTACTTCTAGGACGGCATACGATGTGACCCTCAATGACGATAGCTGGGGCCATGACAGATTTGATATCATCTCTGGCAGCACCTCAGAAACATGGGAAAGGCTTGATGCGTAAGTTCTGCTCCCAAAAAATTTCCCCATCTGTACACTGCCATCTTATCTTTCTAACTATTTGGTGACAATATTCATATGTTTGGTTCAGCGGTGCCACTGTCTCACATTCATTTGTTCTGGATTCCCAAGTAAAAGGCTTGTTCCATGGCTCCCCTGCTGTTATCAAATTCCGTATTCCAACAAAAGCTGCACTTCAGGTTCTTTTTCTTTGTCCTCCTTACCATAGTTGCAAACAACTATTCAACATCATTTAGGAAGATTCAAGTGGTTGATTTCGATGATTCCACTTGTGTTCAATCTAGAAACATTGTTTTTATTGTGTTAATTGCGGATAGACCTCCGGTACTATCACCATATTGTATTTACTATCTCTATAGTTCAATTGTTGCAGATAGACCCTCTGATAGAGATACACTGTTGCAGACAGAGCCCCAAAAATGGTCAAAAGAAGTTCACTCAGGGGGGACAATAGAACCATAGGGGTGTAGTAAGTTCAATTTCGCGATAGTAAAGAGTGTCTGTCTGCAATTATCCCATTGTTACGCATGATGTGTTATCGGCCGATATATCGCTATATCGGCCGATATATCGCTATATCGGCCGATATATTGATTTTAAGGCCCTCCGCAACGATATTTATTTCGTTTCCATTTTGTCACAAATTTTCCTGATACATTGGGGTATATCGGAAATATCGGCCAATATTTCCTTGAGCAAATATAGGTTGATATTGGCTAATTTTTTATGAAAGGGTTATTGGGTTTGGTTTTGGTTCCCACCCGACCCAAAAACATGCAAATACCCAAATACCCTAATCGATCACAGATTCTCATCTCAAAGTCCCTTGAGTTCCTCTTCGTTTGGTGGTGCTTCTGCTCAAAAACGCTAATTGATCTCTCTATGTGCCCCCTCTCTTCTTCTCTAGGTACGACTTCCTCCCCCTCTCTCTCTCTCTCTGCACACACACTCTCTCTCCCCTCCTTT